TTCTATGAACTCATTATGTTTAAGAAAATGTTAATGCATCTGAAATGCATTTTTATCTCAAAGTTTTGATTGGAGAAATAGTAGGCTGGGGTTGAAGGAGTTTTTTCTACCACCAATATGTCATCTGTTTTTGTTCTGCTCACAGTATGATCGTTACTAAATGGATAGGACCTCAGAGAACCAGGGATTTAGTCAAGTTAAGATGATAATAAACATTATTATTGTTGATGGTATGTGCTGTTGAGTAGCACCTGACCTATGGCTGACCTCCAGTGAGGTTTCAGAGGCTGCGAATCACGTGGGAGGAAACTGTCCATCTCTCCTCCTCAGAGCAGTTAGTGGATTTGAACTGTGTGCCTTTGGGTAGGCAGTACAATGCCTCAACACTAGAGCTCCTTATAATTAGCAGTAAGAAAATAAAAAGAAGGGAAAGAATGACCAGGAAGGTTCAAGAATCAGAGACACATTACTTTGTACCAGGCTTGGTATTTGAAAAGGGTTTTGGTAATGGTAACACAACAGGCTGCTAATCCATGAATCAGCATTTCAAATTCACCAGATGCTCCATCGAAGAAAGATGGGCAGTCTCCTTTGGGAAAGATTTACAGCCTCAGAAACCCCAGGGAAGACTGTTATGAGTCATCAAACCCACTCACTTAACGGCAGTGGGTTTTGATTTGGAACCGAAACAAACAGAACAATTGCCGGTTTGGAGTCCATGATTCTTCTCATAGAGACCCAAGGGTGTATGCGCCATACTTTTTTTTTTGTCCCCCCCCTTTTTTTTTGTTTTTAGGGTTTTTTTTAATCTTTTTATCATTCATACACATTGTATCTCATGCATGTACATTATGTTTTGTATAATCTTTCATTTATATTTCAAGTGTTTCCTGGGATTTGTTCACCCTTACAATTGTCTTACTAATAACTACATTTGTGAAAGAATGTAACCCAACTGCTTCATGCCTTATGCCCTGATATTGCCCTTTAGACAGCCAAAATCTGATTTTCCCATCCCTATTAAACCAGTACTTTGAGAGAGCAAGCAAGTCCTTTCTAATGAGGAATTGTCAGTTCAACTTGGAAACTTTGAGGTTCAACTTGGAAACTTTGGTTCCTGGATCCACAGGTATGGAAGTGAGAGAAATAGAACAATGAAGAAACAGGTTGAACTTGGACATGTTCCTTCAGAGTTGCCTACCTAGCAACGCACAGCTATGTGGATGATCAGAAAGGGATTTTGGCTTAAGGAGCAGAGAATCATGAGGAACCCTGGTTTGTTGACTTAGCTCAATGTAGGTGGCTAGGGCTGAGTGAGGAGACCAACAGGTCTGGCACACAGAGAGGAATGTGGATTCTCCTGAGTTTGCAGCTGATGTCCATTTGAAGCTAGCCACAGATTGGCTGGAGTTGAGTTTACCAGAGCCCTACTAGGTGAAGATTATCCATGTCATGAGCTAGGTTCAATTGCTGCAACTTGATGGCTTTCTCTAGACTGAACTTTTATGTGTGGATGCAGACTTTCCACAGGTGTGTGATGGCTGGTTTTTCAGGAGACCACTAGGCCTTTCATTCAAAATTTCTCTGGATTGACTCAAACCTACGACTTTCAGAATTATGATGGCATTAACTTTGTGCACCTCTCAGGGATTCAACAGATATAAAGGAAGAATTAAATATCTCTTCTGAATGAGGCTTATCTGAGTTTCAATCAGCATCACAGTTAATAACTCAGGAAATGCATCTTTATTCTATGTGATATAGGATGACTAGTAAAACTATTCACATTCATCAGGGAAAGAAATTTAGGAATATTCTACCCTCAAAGGTTACAAAGGTGTGTAAAAATATTAAGTATAATTTATATAATTATAATAAAACAGTTAAAAATTTATGTTAAGATTCTCAGTTTTTACCACTTAATGAGAACACATTTGCTTAGTTTAGAATCAGCACAATATAACAAAGAACTCACTGTTTTCAAGTTGATTTCAACTACTGGTGACCCTCTGTCTATAATTCTATTGAAGCAAAGTGCCCCTCTCTCTCCCAAGGAGCAGCTGCTGAATTCAAACCCCAATCTTTCCAGTTAGTCAACAAAAATTATGACCAAACCTTTAGCATACATTGTTGTTGTTGTTATGTGCCATCGAGTTGTTTCCGACTCATAGCGACCCTACGCACAACAGCTCTAAACCCTGCTCTATCCTGCGCCAACCGCACCGCCTCTGACACACCCATCCCGATTACCCCAGTCACTGAATCAATCCATCTCATAGAGGGTCTTCCCCTCCTGCGCTGTCCCTCCACCCTCCCAAGCATGATGTCCCTCTCCAAGGACCCGTCCCTCCTGGCAACATGTCCAAAGTATGTCAGACGAAGCCCCAGAATCCTTGCCTCCAAGGAGCAGCTTGGTTTAATCCTCTCCAAGATGAATCTGTTTGTTTTCCTGGCAGTCCATGGTACATTCAGTACCCTTCTCCAGCACCACAGCTCAAAAGCATCCACTCTCCTTCTGTCCCCCTAGTCATTGTCCAACTCTCTGATGCATAACAAGCGATTGCAAAGACCATGGCCTGTATCAGGTGCACCTTAGTCTCCAGAGAGACACTGTGGCTCCTGAATACCTTTGAGAGGTCCCTAACGGCAGACTTTCCCATCGTGATACGCTTTTTGATTTCCTGACTGCTGGTGCCAAGAGTGTTGACTGTGGAGCAGAGCAAACTGAAGCTGTGAACACTCTCAATCTCTTCGTCATCCATCCTGACGCTGCCAATTGCTCCAGTGGCGAGAATCTTTGTCTTCTTGACGTTGAGCCTCAGTCCATACTGAAGGCTGCAGTCCGTGACCCTTCGCAACAAGTGCATGAGGTCCTCCTCAGTTTCAGCAAGCAAGGTTGTGTCATCTGCATAACGGAGATTGTTAATAGATCTTCCACCAATCCTGATGCCACAATTCTCCTCATAGAGCCCAGCCTCTCGAATAATCTGCTTTGCATACATGTTGAAAAGGTATGGAGACAAGATGCATCCCTGGCGTACACCCTTCCTTACTTTGAACCATGCAGTGTTACCCTGCTCTGTTCTGACTACTGCCTCTTGGTCCAAGTATAGGTTTCGTATTAGCACAATTAAATGTTCTGGGATTCCCATTCTTCTCAGAGTCAGCCACAGTTTGTTATGATCCACACAGTCAAATGCCTTTGCATAATCAATGAAACACAGATAGACATTCTTCTGGTATTCCCTGCTTTCAGCCCAGATCCATCTAACATCAGCAACGATATCCCTAGTACCATGACCCCTTCTAAACCCAGCCTGGACTTCCGGCAGTTCTCTGCTGATGTGCTGTTCTAATCGTTTTTGGATGATCTTCAGCAGAATCTTGCTTGCATGTGAAATCAATGACACTGTTCTGTAGTTTCCACACTCAGTTGGGTCACCTTTCTTTGGAATGGGAACAAATATAGATCTCTTCCAGTCAGTTGGCCAAGTGGTTGTTCTCCAGATTTCTTGGCACAGCTTGGTGAGCACATCCAGGGCAACATCTGGTATCTGAAACACTTCAATTGGTATACCATCAATTCCTGGGGCTTTATTTTTTGCTATTTCCTTCAAAGCAGCTTGAACTTCTTCCTTCATCACCATAGGCTCTTGGTCATATGTTATTTCTTTAAATTCCTCTGTATCTGCCAATTCCTTTCTATATAATGACTCAGTATATTCCTTCCATCTTCTTTTAATACTTCCTGGATCATTTAATATTCTGCCCAAAGCATCCCCAAAATGGATGTCAGAAGAAACTCTGAAGATTGCACTGGAGCATAGAGAAACCAAAGCACAAGGAAGAATTCAAGATACTAAAGAGCTGAACAGAAGATTCCAAAAGGCTGCTCTGAATGACAAAGCAAAATACTACGATGAAATGTGCGAGGAACTAGAGTCAAAAAATCAAAAGGGCTGAACTCGCTCAGCATTTCTTAAGCTCAAGGAACTGAAGAACAGATTCAAACCTAGAGTTAGCATACATTAGACAGAAGAAATCAAATAAGCAAAAGAATGAAGGTTTTTAACAGAAATCAAAATATTAGGAAAGGGGGGAAAAAGAATTTCAATATAGTGGGGAGTTTCTCTAAGGTTGTAATGATCACAAAATATTAGTATGTGAAAATCTGATGGTGGAAGGAGGTGGGGGAGAGGAGCAATTAAATTTAGCCTATAACTGCTAGAACTTAATTCTGGTTGGCAAACGGCTGTACATCAAGCTAATGATCCTCACAACACTGTTTTTGTCTAAAACTTTCCTCTACCTTCCTGTCTGCTGATATAAAGCTTACACCTTTGCTCTTAATAAAAGAAAGACTACCAAACTAAACCTCCTAACCATTAAAAACAATTGGTTTTACAACCGCTTTCAAGTCCACCTCAGAGAAAACTACTGCCAAAAAAAAACGACTTTGATGTGCTGTGGGGCTTAATAAGTCATTCTAGAGTCAACAAGTGGTCAGGAAATATCCCAATAAATTTCTCTCTCTCTCTTTTTTGTAAAATGGTAACTCCGTTTGATAGAGTCTGAGTTGCATGTTTGCAGGAGCTTTGGAGCTCAGCCAGTGATAAATAGGATCCAGTTGGTGTGAGCTGACGGAAGCCTGGCTGCAAATCAGAACAGAAAATTGGACCAAATGATATCTGTCTGAGTATATGACATTTAAAGCACACTGTCTGACTGTAACTGTGCATAAATGAGAAAATATTTTATTCAAATACGTAAAGATTAAAGAGTTGCCATTCTCAAGATCTAACAATTCAGTTTGTAAAAATGTAAGTTTAAAATAGAGTTTTCAGTACATCTATTATTTTTTTTATGAAATGTGCTATTCTAGGGGGGGAAAGTCACCAAAAAATATATATATACCTAACCTATATTTTTTTTAAATCAGGTTTAAAATTTCAAGCATACTGAAAAGAAATATTCCTTTTTATGCCACTGTTCATTTTCAGGAAAAGGAAAGAGATTGAAACAAGCTAAGGAAGAGGCAATGGCAGAAATTGATCAATACCGAATGCAGAAAGATAAAGAGTTTCGGATGAAACAATCTAAGGTAAAGAAAAAAGTCAGTACTGATGTTTATGTAATATAAGTTATAAAATATTAGTGTAACATAAGATATGATATAGAATATCAGTGGGGAAACACTGAGACTGAGTGACAAAAGATATTATCAAAGCAAATAATTGAAACCATAGCAAAATTACTAGTTTTCTATTTTCACTTGGAAGACATTTTTTATTTGCCATTGGAAAAGAAAGCAACAATTATATATACTGTTGTTGTTGTTGTTATGTGCAGTCAAGTCACCTGCAACTCATAGCGACCCTATGTACAACAGCCCTAAACCCTGCTCTGTCCTGTCCCAATCTCATTGTCTCTGACACACCTACCCTCGTTACCCCTGTCACCACATCAATCCATTTTATTGAGGGTCTTCCTCTCCTGCACTGTGGTCTTGAATATATACATTGAAAAGTTTGGATAAAAAAAAAATATTTCCTACTACAGATTTTTTACAAGAAAAATTCTAAGAAACATGTTAATATATACCAGTAGAATAGATTAAAAATGCTGGAGACTAAATTATAGAATGTATTTATTAGACTGAATTTTCTTTCTTGGGATCAAGATTTATAAATGATCACAGTAGATAATTCTGAAAATCTTTCTGGTAGTTCCTTACTATTTCCTTTTTAAACTCCAAATTTTGTTCAAGAAGTTGTTCTTATAAGTTAAGCAATATATCTTTCAATTTCAGCAGTTTTCACTATCTGCAGTTTACAGTGAAAACAAGTGTATGACATTTTCAGAGCCAACAGCCTCCTTTCCAAGTTTGAGCATGAATCAAAAAACCCATAAATTTTGCATTTTATCTCTCATAGTTTAAGTTCATTTAATATTTGTATTTAACCTCAGTAAGAACACAAAGAAAATTCTGTGCAAAACCTGATATTAAAAAATTAATCATGAATGCATCTCACTGTTTACAGCTTTTATTTAAGTGATGTTAGATAAAAATGTTCAAGTAAGATCAGTTGGACCCCATAGTAGGAAAAACTTTCCTGGGAAGCTCTTGCTTCAAATTCAGGGTAATTTTGAGAATAAAGTGAACCACTTAGCAAAAAATCAAGTCCTCCAAGGAGCTCTAGTGAGATAACTATTAAGCACACAGCTGTTACCCTGAAAGCTGCAGTTTTGACCAACCTAACAGCTCTAAGGAAATGAGACCTAGCAATCTACTTCTGTAAAGACAATGAAATCCTAAAGGAACAGTTCAGCTCTGACACGTAGAGTTGGTAATGAATCAGCATCAACTCAACAGCACCTAACAACATCAGTATTTTAAAATAACAATCCCAAATCTATACATAGCATAATGCCCATTCCCCTCAATACCTCTCAAAACACATTTCCCATTTAACTCTACCTATTCTATCCTAACCATATTTGTTTCCACGCTATTCCTCAAACAGGGTAGGCATGCTGCTACCACAAGGCCTTTGCACATGTTATTTTCTTTCCTTAGAATGTTCTTCTTTCAGACACCTGCATCTCTACAGAATTATCAGCTTGTTCTCTCCTCATCATCTTATCTAAAGCTCTGTCACTTATAAATACAGGAGACCAATACCAATTAGAGTTCATGATTTTTCTTTAGAACATTTATCATGGCCTGTTATAATAATGTGCATTTATATTTTCTGCTTATTTCTTGTCTTCTCTTCAATAATATAAACCACCAGCAAAGGCATGCTCTTTGTTAGATTATATGGTGTTTTCCTAGTCATTGAACCAAATCTGGTCTATAGCATGTAGTTAATAAATACTTGTTAAAAGATCAACAACTGAAAGGCCCCTGACATAAACTGTATGTGTTGAAATATCTGGTCACATGCAATCCCAAAGACAAAGGAGGACAACAAATTTCAGGAGAAGGGGCTGAAATTGGGTGAAAGACTCAATCCCAGAGCCAGCACTTTCAGGTGCTGGGGAAGGAGGGGCTTGAAACTCCTTGGAGAAAGGCTTCTTCTTTATGAAATCCCTGCCACTAAGAGGTTGTCCCAGAGACCAAAGAGGACAATAGAGTTTGGGAGAGACGGCTGCAATCAGGTGAGACTCACTTTCACAGTTGGCATGCTGAGATGCCAGCAAGAAAGCTGCCTTCAAAGGCCCCTGGACTGAAACTGCATAAGTTGGAGCACCTAGTAGATGACCACTCTGCAGAAAAAGGAGAACAATAGACTTGAAGAGAGAGAAGTAAAATAAGGTAAAATTCCAGCAGGGCTGCACCATAGCCCAGAGACGGCATGAAGGACTTCAGGAAAGGCAAAGTTTCCTGCTCGACAGAACTAGAAAGGACTTCCAGTGAATCAAGGCAACCACCTCAATAGACTTATTATTTTAATCTGCTAACTAATCAATAGTATAATAAACAGCTATCAGCAACCTATGCAGACACAAAAGAAACAGCCAACACTTATCAAGAATAACGTCACAGAGAAGTCAGAAAAGAAATCAAGAAAGCAACAAGCAGTTTCAAACAATGTGAATAAACCAATTAAGCCATCTCAGAAAAAAAAAGCAGAGCATATCACAGACCCAACGAATATTCCAGAGTCAGAGAAGTAGAGTGTGTGAGTGGTGTGTGTGTGTGTGTGTGTGTGTGTGTGTGTGTGTGTGTGTAACCGAAAATAAATACCCCAAAGACAGGGAAATAAAAGAAATATCTTATATTTTAATGTGGAGTTCTATGAACAGCTATGGAAAAAAGTGTAAATAATGGAAAAAACAATGGAAGCCATAAAGAAAGTAAATCTTTCAGAGATAGGCTTCCAAAAGAAATACAATGACAAGAAAGAATATGAAAAACTACAGAAGAAGCTGCAAATGATGGAAGAAAGAATTGAAACTATGGCTTAAATACACAAGGACATAAAAAATAATCACAGGACAGAAAGGGTACAGCTAACATAGTACTCAAAATAACAGAAATGCATAAAAATACTATCCAGAATATCAACATTGAAATGGCAGAAGTTTAATACATGCTGGAGGGATGAAAGAGTATAATAGAAGAGAGAGAACAGTGAGATGAATAATGACTTGGAAGACAAGAACCTCAATGGGAACATACTAGAAGAAAAATGAGCAATGAGATGAAATAGAAAATAAAAAAATATTAGAATCAAGTGGGATGGCATAAAAGTGAACAATGTATGTATGATCAGAATACCAGAGCACAAGAGGGACAGGACAGCAATGACAAAATTGTGGAAGGGATACTAGAATAAAACTTTTCAGATATTATGAAGAACAAAATAATCTACATTCAAGAAGCTCAGTGAAAACCAAACAAATCAGATTTTATAAAAAATGCATCAAGACATCTCACGGTCAAATTCTTAAAAATAAAAGATAAGAATAGAATATTAAAAGCAGCCCAAGAAAAAGAGAGTCACCTTTGAAGGAGAAACTATTAGATTAAGTTCTGATTTCTCAATAGAAAATTTGTGAGCAAGATGACACTTGAATGGCATATACAGAAAGTTGAAAGAAAATAATTGCTGGTTGAGGAGCCTGTACCTAGAAAAGCTGTCCATCAAATCAGATATGAAAAGAAATTAGTTCATTTGTGGAAAAGCAGGAGCTTACACAATTTGTGAAAATAACACTAATTCTACAAGAAATTCTACAAGGAAACTCCATTACATAGAGAGACATCAAGGGAAAGTGGATGGACCATTGTTGATGTTGTTGTTAAGTGCCATCAAGTCTTAAGCAACTCATAGTGACTCTATGAATGAAATACCTGAACACTTGTATAACTTTCATTCTTTCTCCAGGTTCAGAGGGTTTCCGGATGCAAGCTATATTGGAAGTGGATGCCACTCCTGCTTCCAAGCTTGTTTTAATTGGGGAGCTCCACCAAACCCTGTCTACCATGGGTAACCATTATCATATTTGACACATCAGTGTCACAGTGTTCAGTATCACAGCAACCATGAGTTACTTCTGCACAGCAAATCAACAGACCAGGGCTATACGACCTAGAAGAATGTTTGACCAAAAACAATTAAAAACAGGCCTGCGGGTCACAGAATAAAGTCACTCACCTTTGGCTTGGGATCATTACTCCCTGTCCTCTAGGTCAATTGATCTCTCTCTATGGTGGTGTTATTGTTGTTGTTAAGTGCCATTGAGTAATAGGTAACTCATAGTGACCCTATTTGGATGATAGTAACCAAAAAAAAAAAAAAAAAATAGAAAAGTAAACAGCAAAATGGCAACAACAAAACATGACCTGTCAATAATTACACTTAATAACTAAAGTAAACTGAGTAAATGTGAGAATAAAGATAAAAAGAGTAGTGATGGATTAAAAAAAAAAAAAAACAAAAACAAAAAAAAACCCAAACCCGTCAATATGTCCCTACAAGAAACATCTAAGAAATGAAGAGAAAGACATAAAAAAAATAAAAGTCTGGGGACGGGGACACCAAGAAAATGGTAATCACAAACACGCAGGTGTGGCAATACTAACCTCTACTAATATAGACTTCAGGATGAAAATCACCATAAAAGGAAGGGCACAATAGATCAAGAAGACATAGCCTTGGTCCACATCTATACACCAAATGAGGGACATAAAAAATACATAAGACGATATTAACTGATGTGAAGATAGAACTAGACAGCGCCATAATAATGGTAGAGGATTTTAACACTGCACTTTCACCAACTTAAATGAAATTTAGTGAAGATACAGAAGATCTAAACTAGCCAGCTCAACCTTATGGATGGTATTCAGGGTACTGCACCCACTAAAAGTTAATTTCTCTCTTCTCAAGTAAACGTGGTACATTCTTCAGAATTGATCATATACTAGAACATAAAGGAAGCCCCAACAAATAAAAAAACATTGAAGTGATACAAAGTAATATTTCAGACCACAATGCTATAAAACTAGAATTAATGACCAAAAGATAAAGCTTATAATACCATGCATGTGGATGCTAAATAATACCCTAGCAGAATGTGATTCAGTGCTCT